GCTCCCATGATCCAGGAGCAAATGGTTAGTGACCTGCTTGGCCAATTAGACATAGACAAGTTCATCAGGCTGGACAGGGTCCATGCAAGTATCCTGAGGGAGCTGACGGAGGTGTTCAGCAAGCCACTTTCCATCATCTATCAGCAGTCCTGGATGATTGGGGAAGTTCCACTTGACTGCAGGTTGGTGAATGTGATGCCCATTTACAAGAAGGGCCAGAGGAAGGATCTGGCAGCTGGGGACCTGGGGGGGCTGGAGCGTGTCCAGAGAAGGGCACCGGAGCTGGGGAGGGGTTTGGAGCCCAAGGCTGCTGGGGAGCAGCTGGGGGAGCTGGGGGTGTTCAGCCTGGAGCAGAGGAGGTTGAGGGGAGACCTTACTGCCCTCTACAACTGCCTGACAGGAGGTTGTAGCGTGGTGGGGGTTGGTCTCTTCTCCCAAATAACAAGTGTTAGGATGAGAGGAAATGGCCTCAAGTTGCTCCAGGGGAGGTTTAGATTAGATGTTAGGAAAAATGTCTTCACTGAAAGGGTTATCACGCACAGGAAGGGGCTGCCCAGGGAAGTGGTCGAGTCCCCATCCCTGGACATATTTAAAAGATGGGTAGACCAGGTGCTTAGGGACATGGTTTAGTAGTGGACAGGTACAATTGGGCTCAATGATCTTAAAGATCTCTTCCAACCAAATGATTCTATGATTCCTGCTTTCCTCTTCCCTCTTTTCCCTGTGTCCTGCTGCCTTTGGGCAGAGCCTCGTAGCCAGCTCACTGCTGGGATTTCTGATGCACATGAAGGAACAAACCTTCACTGCCTCCTCTGCACTTCTGAATGTGTGTCAGCCCTGGGCTCAGGGAAAGTGCTTGTGGTTGGGGCCAGGGGAAGGGGTGATGGCCCCCTGTTCCCCCTGGCCTCCAGGGGTGGACTGGGGCAGCCCAGGTGGGACCTGTGAGGTGAGGATGGGGCTGGCCCTGCTGGGCCAAGGGGCTGGAGCTGGGGAGGGGGCTGACCGGGCAGGCCTGCCTGCAGGAGCTGGCTGCAGAGTGAAACGAAGGGGCTTCCACAGGCGGCTGCCTCCAGCAAGGGATGTCTGGTGCCCGCAGCGAGGAAGGATTCCTCCCAGCTGTCCTGGACAGAGCTCACCATGCGCACGGGGCCGCCTTCCTTGGCCGCACGTGTGAGCTGCCGTGTGCCTGGGGAGCCTTGCAGGAGAGCAGCACTGGGGCAGCAGCCGCCTGCTCCCGGGTGGGCGAGGGTCTGGCAGCCGGCACCGCCGAGGAGGAAGCAGAGAGAGAAGCCTTGGGGTGGTGAAGGTCTCCCACCGGCAGCAGGAGCTGCGGTGAGCCACGTGTCCCCTCACGCATGTCTGCACCCATCCCTGCCATGCTTCTCCAGATCCCTGCCTGCCTCCTTGCCTGCCCCTGCCTCCATCTCCCTTTCAGGCTGTCTGGCTCCCCAAGGCTTTTTGCTCTTCTGCTAGCACTGCCCTGTACTCCCTCACCTTCTACGTTTCCCCTCTGTGCCTCTCTTTCCAGCTCCCCACCTGCTATTACTTCTTTCTTCCCACGCCGCCTTCTTCCCCATTGCTTGTGAAAATTGCATTTCTAGGTCTCCCTCTACCCAGCGACCTGTCTCTATTTTCAGTGACTCCCTCTGCTCTGCACCCTGTCACTCTTCCAGTGTCCTTTCCCCATGGCTCTCTATCCAGCTCCCTCTCCTGATATTTAACTTCTTACCCATATGGCCAGTACCCCCTTGCTTTCTAAATGTTCTCTCTATGTCTCCGCTTACCCAGTTCCCTGTCCAGGTTTTTTAATTCTTCCTGCCTGTCCTCTGCTTCATCACTTTTTAAATTTTGTTTCAATGTCTTCAGTTTGCTGACCCTTTTTAAAATTTTTTTCTTCTGTTCTTAATCCCTTCGCTTTTAAAATTTCCTGTCTACACCTCTGTTTTAATTTGCTGTCGTGACTTTTTTTTTCTTATTTCCTTAATCCCCATTGCTTTTAACACTTTCTGCCTGCTTTTATTCCATTCACTGCCTTTACTTTTTAATTATTTCTTCTCTTTCCTTAGTGCGATCACATTTTAGATTTTCTTTCTATGTCTCCGTTTTACTTTGCTGTCATGTTTTGTTTTTTTTTTCCTTATTAATCGCTGTTGCTTTTAAAAGTTTCTGTCTCCTTTTATCCTGTTTGCGGTCCTTATTTGCTACGTTTACTTCTTCATAATTTCTTGTCTTTCCTTAGTGCCCTCGCTTCTAAAATTTTCAGGATAAGAGCTTTATGCTTTCTTGGTTAGTAAGTTTTTAAAACGTTTTATAAGAGTGGTCAAAAATGTTACTGAGATACTGGCATCTGTACCAAAAGCAGTCAAGGTTAAAGAAGAGACGTGGACAAAACAGGACAAATGGGTGTCGCTTCCATGTGTTTTCCAGGCTTTCCCAAGAAGCATTGGCAGCCTTGTCACTGGTGACAGTGGGTGTGGCTTTGGTGAGTTATGGCTTCAGTTGCGTCCTTTTTCCTTAACCTACAGCATGTAGCTTTTTACTTCACTCAGAAAGAGATTTTCCACACGGGAAATCTTTTCTCATCCAAAGAAGTCCCATTTTATGAATTTCCCATCAGAGCAGATCTTCAGAGATGAGGTACTTGTTGCTGACGACTTCTATTGTCAAGACACTTCCCTCTCTTTAAAACAAAACAACAACCAAGCGAGCAAACAAACAAAAAAGTCGATTTCCTTCCATGAAATGAACATGGGATGAGACATTTTGCAACACCTGCAAGAGTGGTCACTTTTCTGCTAAGAATGTGTTCTCAAAATTGTGTTGGTTACTTTTGATACAGATTTGAAGTGTTTGATCACTCTGGCTCGGAAAGGATGTGCTGTGTTTGGAGCTGACCTGTTCACCTAGAATGCTCCTGAGCTCGACTGCTGCCCTGTCCCTGATGCTGACGGAATTCCTCTGCTTCCTTCCCTGCTGGTTTTTTTTTCATACGCTGGAATCTAATGTGGGATTTTTGCTTTGCAGGTGTGTTCTCCTCAGGGTCTGGTGATGCAGGGTAGCTGCCCTGCAGCTCAGGTTTGCCTGCCGGTCCTTAAGCGGTCGTTAAGGGTACTGAGGGGAAGAGGCCAGCCCTGTGCCTGGAGGCTCCCGGCTCTGTCCCCAGCTGGGACCCCCGCAGGTGCGGCAGGAAGGGGGGTTCTGATCGGGGGGTCCGAGGCGAAGCGTGGAC